AAGTGGTATACACTGCAGCAATACACTTTTTCGAGGAGGTTTTAATGTACACGCCAAGCAGTGCAGTAAAAAAGTTTTTCGAGAGCGCTGGACAATTTAAAAGTAATGAAAAGGCAATTGTTCTTTGCGCACCATATAAGTTATGCTATTACAACTTCTTCTTGGAATTTTATTACAACTTGGGAACGTCTGCAGAGAACAAAGAGCCTGTTGTCAATTTACTGAAAGAGATGAACAACACACAACTGAAAACAGTCCAAACGTCACTTCATGACTGCCTCTATGAAATGTTTAATAGAGGGACTTCAAAGAGCTCAAACAACTACAAACATTTACTTCCAATGCTAAGGATATATTATGAATTGTACGAACTCAATTTAGTAAGAAAATACACGTCGTATACGTGCTTCTATTTGAAGTCAATTTCAATTGAAAGAAATTGGTCAGACGACTTTAGAGCGTTTTTAGAACAAAGGTTTGTGTTTGTATGTTTATTGCCTTAATAATCAAAGACTAAAGTAGTTTGTCTCATAAAAATGTGTCGATATTGCATTCCAAATTATGCTTTTTGAACAAACTCTTCTTTCGTTCATTTCACCATGTTTTTATAAATGTCCCACACCTCTTTCTCATAGCACTATGAATTAATACGAAATAAATAATTGATACAACAGAGAGGGACTTTTATCGTATCCGTTTTGCATCGAATTGTATACACGAGTTCTTGTCCTTCACAAAGAGAATGAGTTGGACAAGAAAGACGCGATCAGATTGGAGTTTGAACGCGCAAACACGTTTTTTATAAAACCCTTTTTGGAGTTGAATGTTGAGAGGGAAAACTTGTTATTAACGTCGATGAACGGGTTGTTAAATCGAGATCCCTTAGACTTCAAAAAAGAGCTCAAAATCCAGTTTATGGGAGAGCCTGGTGTTGATCAAGGAGGAGTGTCGAAGGAGTGGTTCAGTTTGATAACCAAAGAAATATTCAATGTCGACTTTGGGATGTTTTCGTACAACAAGAAGACGAGGTACTTTTGGTTTTCCTCGTGCAGTGAGGACATTGTGGATTTTGAACTGATTGGAATTGTGTTGGGGCTTGCAATTTACAACGACATCATTCTTGATATTTCATTCCCACACATTTTATACAAAAAGTTGTTGGGAGAACCAATCACGTTTGAAGACTACAAGGACTTCGACCCGGAGTGCTACACATCGCTTGTCCAACTCAAGGAAGTGGCGAAGACGGACGATTTGTCTGCGCTCGGAATGTACTTTGAAACGACGAAGGACGTCTTTGGAGAAATTATAGACGTTGACTTAATTCCAAATGGGAGAAACGTGCTTGTTACAAACGACAACATCGACCAATACATCACCGCGTTTACAGACTATTTTTGCAGTTCTTCGATTGGGAAACAGTTTGGAGCATTTAGGAAAGGGTTTTTGAGGGTGGTAACATCACCCCTGATACTTGTTTGTTTCTATTTGATATTTCTGTTTTGTTGGAGTCACTTGATAGTTACATCCAGATGATGAGACCAGAAGAACTCGAGTTAGTGATTTGTGGAACAAAAGAATTCGATTTTGTTGCGCTAAGGGAGTCGTGCGAATATAAAAATTATAAGAAGGATTCTCCCGTCATTCAGTGGTTTTGGGAAGTTGTGTTTGACCTTGACATTGAGCAAAAGAAACAGCTGTTGGTCTTTGTGACATCGAACGACAGAGTGCCAGTGGGAGGACTTGGCAACTTGCGGTTTTTCATCGACAAATACGGCGAGGTGGATAGATACCCAACAGCGTCCACATGTTTTAACGCGCTTCACCTCCCTCCATACCCATCGAAAGACATCCTCAAAGAGAAGTTGCTTTTTGCGATTCAAAATGCGACGGGCTTTGGTTTAGCTTGACGCGTTTTTTGACATACTTTTTTGTTCCTTAAGTTTCTGTATAATTTAACTACGCAATAACTTCGATATACTTATCCCATAATTTTGTGACTGTCATAAGATGGACACCTTCGGCGTTTTTCTTTTCTTTTCACCACCAAATAACAAGTTGTTCTCCAATACGCTTGTAGCGCTTAATTTCTTCTATTACCACAAAAAAAGAAACCATTTTATTCCTCAATAGACGAAAAATTGAGGAACTAAAAACTCAAAGAATGCCACGACCACGCTTGAAAGACAAAGGGGAAGACTATTTGAAAAAACAGAAGCAAAAGTCCCGCTCACAAGAGGCGGCTTTGACGAACGCGTTTTTGGACATATTAATATCGAGCTTTGGGTACTCGATGAAGTACTTAAAATCGAAAGGCGCGACAAAGACGGTGAAAATGATAGTGCCTTCGCTCTTAACAAAAGACGATGTGACATACACCCGAGAGCAAATTATGAAGAAATCTGCCGATGTGTGTAGTATATATACATTACCCGAAGACGCAACAGAGAAACAGAAAAAGCGCAATGAAGAGGCGCAACTTGCAAATGGCATTTTAGCGATATTAAAAGGGCACGGTTTTGACTTTAAAACAAAGAACACGCGGCCGTGTAAAAAGACGACACAACTCATTCGCGTGACGGAGTTAGTGTATCCCGATAAAACGACTGTTCTGAAGACAGCGGCATTGATCGAGAAAGGCGCCGAGTTTTCCAAAGTTGTTGAGCCGCTCATGAAGAATCGTGAGGAGACAATCACTTCAAACAACTTGAGAATTAGCAAGGAAAGTTTTTCGAGTCTGAAGAAGATGTTACAAGACCAACCCAGTGACACGGCAGATGACGTTGATATGAATGAGAGCATAACACCAAGTGATTTGATTGCCAAACAAGAAAGTGTCATTCCAACGACAGACACCATTGTAGTTCCGATTGTCGCGAATCACATTGAGCCTCCAGAGATCCGTGAGTGCTTCGATATGGAAGAAGTCAAGCAAGAAAGTGACGAAGACGCCAAAGAAAAGATGGACAACACTTTTCATCCTTTACAACTGCAACCAAGTAACCCTAATTGGCACATCCATGACGACCAAGAAAGTGTTCTTCTTAATATGATGAATGAGGCCGAAAGCGCAAAGGAAAATGTCGTGTTTGAAGACGACGAGACGATAGAAGACCCCGTGGAGTCAAATGGGAATCTGTTGGAACATGAAAACTCGTCGACGTTCAATAGAAATCACCCGTCCGTCGACATCACGTCGTCGAATGGATTTCTCCAAAAGTAACGAGTTTACTGGAATTGTAATTGCACTTTTCATACGCTGTTGTGTTGTTTGTTGTGTCAAACGAAGAAAACGAAGGCTTCAATTACTTCCAAATCTTGATGATCCCATCGCGCGAAGCACTACATAGGAAATACGACTGTGGAGATGAAAGCACTGCAAGAGCCGTTATAGAGTCTAAGTGATGGTCATTGTCTGTGAGTCCAATTCCTCTCTTCTCGCGTTCGACGGGGAAACAACGAACACAGACGATGTTGTGTTCGATGGTTGTTTCGAATGTGGGCGGCTTTTTAAAGTCGCCGATAGCATAACTACTTGAACCTTGTGAGGTCTCGATGTCCCAGAATCGTAAGATATGATCACTGCCACCCGATATAATATAACGACCATATGCCATTAAAGACGTGTTGGCTAAATAAGGAAGGTACACATTGTTTTGACTCTGAGCGATGCATCGTTGTAAGTTCTGTAATAAACTGTCGAGTTGTTGAACGCCATAATCTTCCGGACCCATTGAGAAAGAAGGCTTAAAACGACTGCGTTCGACTTTTTCGATGATAGTGTCTAACTCCGGTATTTTAGTGCCAAAGTCTTCGAAGTGCAATAACAATTTCAAGTTCTGGTTTTTAATATCCCAACAGAAGACATCCCCATCGCGAGTGTTCGTTGCGATGTTCTCATCTTTCAAAAAGATGATGTCGGTGATGGCGGAGTGTGTAGGGACTCGCCACCCGATGTTCGCGATGGTATGCCGCAAATCCCAACATACTAAATACCCGCGATTGGTCCCAACTATACAATACTCCCCACTCGGGGCTACAGCCATCGCAGAGACATAACCCAGTCGTGGATCATTTTCTTTCATTATTCCAGGCACTTTGTCGCGAATGTCCCATACCGCTAATGTGCCGTTTTCACATATAATTGTCACAGACTTGGGGTCCGCATTTTTCTGAATTTGAATGATCTTGGAATTCAACTTGAAGGATTTAACAAGTGAAGTCGACAGTACACTCATCTTCTTCATATCAACAAACACACGGTGAAGCTCGACTGTGCCATCTTTATACCCAATGACTATCCCATTACTCTTTGCGATTGTACCAAAACAGGTCACTCCACTCTCGCCTTTCAAGGTCGCCCGTGAACGCATCACTTCTAGCGACTCCACTCCCATGATGTCCCACACTTTCACAACTCCACTCAAATCACCACTCACAAAAAAGACGCCCGTCGCACCAGTCGCCACTACGACTATTGGCGCTCGGTGCTCTGTCAAATGCGCAACACAAATTCCTTGGAACGGTTCTGTCTTCAATATGGGTTGGACCGAATCGAGAAATCCCAACTCGGGGATACTTCTTGCACGAGGGGGAGAAGTGCCTTGGATCACTATTTGGTATCGCGAACTGTCTTTGGTGCATGGAGTCGTTGGATTGATCATAGGAATATAAGTGTGTGTTGGATCGTCCGGGTTGACACCCCATAACGGTAACACTTTCAGCTCGTCGTTGAGTCGAGCGAACATGTTCTGTTGTGCGTTAGTGAGTCGAGAAACACATTCCTTCACATGGACAAGGTATGGTATCAATTTCGAAAGACACTTATCCGGGTTTGTCACCCCAGTCGACTCCAATTTACTCACCATCTCGTCAACATGTGTCGACATTGGGATATCCATTCGATCAAAAGATCTCAGCGCGTTCCTCGGAATCGAAGATAACAGCGACGCGTTGATATGCGCCGACGTGATATTAAACAGTCGAATACGAAGCATTGTATTCACGTGGGGAAGAAGGAAGCAATGGCGTTGCGCGTCGCTCAATTTCCCGGCAATGACTTCCAGCAGCATAGCTGTAGCTTGTCGAAGTGTGATATTGGGGTGGACCAACAGTGGGCAGACGGACGGGATAATACTATAAATATAGCTTCTTGAAACTATATCGAAGCTCACGCAAGATGTTAAAGAGAGTAATGTTTGGTGGACTAAATACTCATGTGTGCTATACAAATACTGTTGTAATATTGGATAGAAGTTCAATTCAAATTCCTTTGTTCCATAGACCTTCCCGACAAGTGGGATTTGCTCCAAGAAGTAGAGGATCAAGATTGGTTCTGTTGTTTTGAAGATATTGATATATTGTAACAACTCATTGTGACTCTTGTCATGTCCACAAAACAACGTGAGCGATGAATACGCGACGATGAGGTTTCGAGTGATGTGGAAGTTCTTTCTTTTAATCATCTGCTTGTAACTTTCAAGGAAGAAGTGGGAGAGCACTTCGTGCTCATCCATCTTGAGACTCCCGTCTTCTTCTTTCAGCGCAAGTTTCTTTGACAGCTCAAGTAATTGAGAGAAGAATGAAGTGTAGACAATAGCAAAGGACAAATTATTAGGGTTAGCTACTGTCTGTTCAATCGTCGGTAATATGTAATTCGGGAAGAGTAAATGCGCCGAAGGGGGGAGTTTCTCGAGGAATGTGAGTGTTTTCACAAGTGTCCGAAGTGCTCTGGACTTGATTGGATTACTTGAGTTTGCGACAATCAAGTCGACTAAGCCTGGGGTGACTATCATATAAAGTGCTTCATCATCAGAATAACAGATTAAAGCGTCGACTAAAGACAATATAGTATCCAACACACTTTCTCGTGTGAGTCGCATACTAAACAATATCGAGAAGATGATCGAACTACTCACAAATGGGTCTTCCTTCTTCATAAAATACTTCTTCATCTCTTTTGAGTCCTTCAATTCGATCTCTTCGCTCTCCGGTGTAATTTGTTCCGTCAATTTCCTCATCGAGTCCAATGCTTCTCCTCTTGCTTTCGCATCCCCCCATTGTCCACTCAACAGTTTTTCAAGGTGTTTGTGGAGTTCTTCCGTTTGTGTGGTGAGCTTTTCCAATTCAACTGCAAGTTGCGACGAATGTGACAAAGTGGCCTCGTCGGGTATCACTTGGACTTCTCGCGTGACTGTTTTCTTCTTCTCCGATATTCTCTCGATCTTAAGGACTTCGCGCGCAAACCCGATGATATCGGGCAACACAACTTCTGCCGAATTTTGTTGTGAAGAGTATGAGAGTTGTAACAGTTGTGCGAAGTAGTTAGGTACATTCATCGAAAAGGTGTCCAGACATTGTGCCGCTGTGGGTCGATTCTGTGGGTTCGCGTCAACCATTTTCATCACAAGATCCTTCACAAAGTCCACCTTAATCGCGTCAAGTGCTTCGCCAATTGAAAATTTCCCTGCTTTATAGTCCAAGATATTCGACACGTCAAACAGTGCATTCTCCGTGAACAAATAGACTAACACGCATCCAAGAGAGAACACATCAGACATCGTCGTGCATTGTTCAAACATGTTCTCTGCCTTCAAATTTGCTTTAAATCTCTCTGGCGCAACACAACTCGATCGATTAAAAAAGAAGTTCAGGTCGTATGGATTGTCGTCGGGTAAATAGAACGGTTTGAATGGCGCAAAGTCACAGATGTATGGCGTGTTCGATGTGGTTAAAAGGATGTTCTCCGGTTTGATATCGCCATGGACGCACCCCAAGTTATGAAGTGAATACACCGCACTGACTATTTGATATGAAATAAAGAGTTTCTCATGAACAGTAAGGACCGGGGATGTCCTCACTCGATCCGCCAAATTATATGGCAAATGTTGTCTTTGATAGATAATGATATTCCCATTCTTCCCTGTCTTCCGCGTGACAAAATTCAGTAACCCATTCGTGTTTGTTATCGCTTTGTTAACACGATGTAGCCGTTGCATCAGGTCATTCACTTTGTCTGTGTCACTCGGTTGGACCGAATATAACTTGGTCATCAACATTCGCCGGGACCGGGTGTCCCGTCCTTTAACCGATCGCGTAAACATGTCACTCCCTATATTCTCGGCTTCATCAAGACCGCAGATATCGGTAAGTTCTAATGAGTTCAGAACATCAGACGATGTCGATAGAGTATTCCCCATAAGACTTTTGAGTTCCCAGTTTGTATTTTGGTGTTTTGGTTCGACAAAGTCAAAACATGGAAAATGTTCTATTCTATTGTAGTATTAAAAACTATTTATTATTCTATAAAAAACTATCATTTACATCTTTTAATGCGATTCATTTGTTTTGACACATGTCGTCGAAGATCTTCTTGAGGTCCGATTGAACAGATTTCTTGGTAGACTTTCTTGGCTTCTTTTCTTTCGCAAATTTTGTTTCCTTTTCGGGACCAGAGATTTTGATAAATTTACCACCACATGTCTCTTGGTGCTTTTTGTACCAAAAGTCATTGGGGCCTGGCGCTCTGTTCATTGACCTTTTCACATATCCATAAAATGGTGGCTTATCGCGACAAGTCCCGTCACATCTCCAAACGTGTTTCTTCAAATTGTTGCACTCATCAAAAAACGTGTGAAACACAGTCACATTCAAACACGTGTGTTCATTTATCACCGTCATCCACTCATGAAATCGTGTTCCGTGCGAGTCATCATCTCTTGTATGCGTTCTAAACAAATGGGCATGAACACTTTCATGAACTAATGTGGTTACAGTATCTTTTGTAGGTCTGTACGAGAGAATTCCCTGTGAAAGTCTTATAACACAGCCATTCGGCTTTCCATAACAAATCCCAGCACACGATGTCATCCGTTTCGACCACTCAATTGTTGTGTTTGTGATGTGATCTCTGAACATCATTCTGTTTATATGTTTAAAGCACTCGTTGACATCTATGATATCCTTTTGTATCTCCTGATTAATAAAATCCGAAGCATTTTTATAATGTGTCATAAAGTATTGTATATCGCTTTCGTGCAACGTTGGTTGGTACTTGAAGTAGTCGAACCCTGTTGTTTCCACGATGACGTACATATCCTCTTCTTCCCTCTTTTTTGTCCCACCAAATTCAACTTCAGGTGTGTTGGTCACAATTTGTGTGTTGAGTTCCTCCAATTCTTTTTCTCCCTCCACAAAGTCGTCTCTTTCTATTGTCGGGTGGCACATGTTTATCACTGTCGGGTCGTTATAAAAAATGAGTTTCGGGATGACGACTTGATCCACATCAATTATACTCATTTGTAAACAATTTTTTCCAGTTTTTTAATTTCTTAAATTCACTCTCTTTCTCATTGCCTCAATCTTTTACGAAAATGAGAAACAATAGAAAAATTAAAACAACCATAACTTAACTATACCTCCTCATAATTTAAATGGCAAATTTGGGATCGGAAGACTCATTTTGGTCTTTGCTCTCTTTTACTTCCTGCGTCGAACTGGGGACTTTCGGGAAGTCCATTACAGTATTTTCTTCCGGTATTTTGATATCTCCGTCAAACATATCGTCGCCCATCTCTGCCAATTCTTCGAGTCAATTCCATGCTTTCTAAAAAAAGGTATAATTAATTAGAATAGTTACTAATATCTCCAATAACTTAAAAATATAGTTTTGTAATAATTAACTATAATTACCAACATGGTTCTAGTAATATATTAATAAAATGAACTATATTATATACATCAAAGTGTTTGAGACAATCCTCAATGTCAAAAGAGGAAACAAACCGTCATCCAACGCCGCCTCGTCCATTCCCGTCGTGTCTTGCATCAAAATTTCACCGAAGTCGTTTTGGTCTTCTGCGAAATTTGCCATTTTGTCCTGAACATCTTCGATACCATTCAAGTCGAATTGACGAGACAACGCTTGCATCTGTTGATTCGACTGTTCCATTGCTTGATATATCTTTTGGTAGTCTTGCATCTTTTCGACCTCGAATTGCATGTTCTGTAAATTCATATTGTATTTATCAGACATATCTCGGTGCTGATCAACTTGTTTCTTCTGTCGGAGAAGAAGAAGCGCCTTTTGTCGATATCGCGTACTCTCGGCTCCAGACGACTTCCGCGAAAGTTCTAAATTTTTTCGGATCTCCGCATCCAACTCTTGGGACTTTTTACTTAGACTCTCGGAGCGCGATTCTAACGTCGCGCGAGTTTCGTCAACTGACACTACGTCTTTTTTTCCAATAAAACGGTTCAACATCTTTCAATAAAAGTTGTTTTGTAGTTTCTTTACTATTTCAAAGTTAAACTTTACTTTATGTTTATTTAACTTCATTAACATTTAAACTACTATTTATAATAAAATTTACTATAACTTTTATTATAGTCAAACAAAACTTGTTGTTTGTTTAACTAAAATAAAACTAGTTTTTTATTTTAACTAGTTATCTGGTTTTTAAATGGTATTAAAACTATTAATAAATTAAGTATAATTAAATATAGTTAATATTGAACTAATATAAAAATAACAAATTTCCTCATTGTGATTTTTAATTAAAATAGAACATTTTCCTCAATTTGGCGGCCCTATTTTAAACAAATAAACCTAAAACTTTTCTATTGAATTGAAAAGTTTTATTGGCGACAATACTATTGAAAAAATCATTGAAAACAAATAATATAATTAATAATAAAATAACTAGTACCAAATAATAGTATGAAAAGAGGACTGTCAAAGGTCTATGGACGTATCTGAGAAAGGAGCAACTCCCGCGCCACCCGAGGTTGTCGGGCTGATTACATCAAGAACTTCTGGACGTGCTGAATTTATGCGAATTAAAAAGAGAAAGAGTAGAGACGAGGAAGCATCTTTGGCAAATTCATATTTATTTTTGTTATTGAGTGAGTGTGATGGAAAGGCGGTGATCAAATACACAAAAATTGCACAAAAAACAGTGAAACTTTATTCAGTTGAGAGTTTGTCGTTTGACAACATGACTTTTACACAAGATATGATTCGGGAGGAAGGACGGAAGTTGCTTCTAAAAAACAATTTTAAAAAAGAAGATTTGACAACCGATGGAATGAGCGAGAAGCAACAAAAACGAAGTGTTGAGGCAGAGATGAGTAATGGATATCTTGAACTTCTTATTGGACATAAGTTCATTGCCGATATTAAACAAACAAAGTCAAGTAAAAAAACTATAAAAATGGTAAGAATTTCTAAATTGACAAGTCCTTCTGGTACCGATTTCTCAAAATCCTACCTCGGCAACATTGGAAATAAGTTTGCTGAGTTGGTCCAGAACGGTTTTCGAGGACACAAAACACTGAATTTAGATCGTCTTTTTGTAGATGAGATTCGACAAATGATAACTTTGGGATTGATAGATGACAACTCGAATCAAAACGATGAGACAGATAAGGATGGGAAAATGGAGGAAGACAACAAGGAGAACGAAGAGAAAGTCGAAGTCAACGATAAAATCGAAACAGAAGAAAAAGTAGAGACGGTCGAAATTGAGAAAAAAGTCGACCACCCAACAGAACTAACCGAACCAAGCGTTCAACCAGAACCACGTAATGAAAAATCGCTCGAGAAAGAAGAGAAAGAGCCAGAGGTACTATTACAAACACCAGAAGCAGTGACTGAAATGGAAAAAAGTAAACCAATGGAAACAGAATGTATTGGAAATGATGAACAGCTGAATCAACCAGATCTTGTGGGTGAACAGATATTCGTATTCAACGCAGGAAACGTGTTTAGAAATGAAGTGGATGACACAAAGTTCTTTGTCTCCCTCGATGAGATCCCATATCTCAAGAGCATCAAAAAATAACGTTTATTCGCACTTGTAACTACAATTTATGGCTTTTTACTATTCGCGTTACTTGCGTCAATCTCGCCAAAACAGCTTGGAAATTTTCAAAAAACAAATTTTTGTTTTTTGAAAAAACACAAACCCACACAATGAACTACAGCACACCTCCCATCAAGTACAAGCCATCAAAAATCACTGTTATCGGCGACTCTGGTGTTGGTAAGTCTGCTCTGATATCACAATTTCTGAACCGTGTCATTGACCCAAACACCCAACCAACTATCGGAAACATAAGTGCAAACACAAAGTTGGATGACGGCACCGATACGCTGAATGTTGTAATATGGGTTTGTATCTTTTGTTATCTATCTATATTTTAATAAACAGGATACAGCTGGGCAAGAGCGATTCAAGAGTATGACGGACTTGTTTTTCAGAGAAGCGCGTGGTTGTGTCATTGTATTTGACTTGACAGATTACTCGACTTTCATAGGGACACAAAATTGGTACGAACGCATTTGCAAGAACTCAGTAAGTCCTCCTGTCTGTGTCTTGGTTGGAAACAAGAAGGATCTTAGCCATAAAGAAGTCAACACGGATCAAGCACTTAAACAAGCAGCCTTATTCAACGCACTTTATTTTGAAGTCTCTGCTCTCACAGGTGAAGGGGTTAAAGATGCGTTTTATAGCTTTCTTGGGAGAATCGAGCCGGAGGTGGACCAGAAAGTGGAGGTAGTAGTGGGCCAACCAACAAACGAGAAGAAAGAGAAAAAGTGCTGCTAATTTTTTCATCTAATTTATTATTACTGTATTATTAATTATCTATCATATTAATTATATTATAAATATTATATTTCATGAATTATAAAACAAACCATTGACATGATAATGTATTATATAGTATAGTACATTATAATATAAAATATTATAATTTATATTTTAATGTATTATATTATATAAATTATCTTATCTTATCTTATCTTATCTTATCTTATATTATATTATATAATTATATTATTCTATAGTTAGTTTATTATCTATTAACAAAACTACAAAAAAGGCCAAAGATGTTAAAATTGAGTGAGCAAAGTGAAATAGTGACAGAAGTAGTGACGATAAATGGAGGTGTTGAGAAGCGAGAGTTTTCGAAAGATGAAAAACTGAGTGGGACAAAAGATCCTTTGTGGCGGGTCACAGACATATTTTCTCAAAACAAATATTTTCTTCGACAATATAGTAAATCGCTGTTTGTTGATGAAAGAGAGAAAACCAAGTTTGTGACTGACATTCAAATGAATCTCAAAATTAAGAATTCACGCATTTGTCAATTAAAAAGTGTCTTTGAAGATCAAGAGAATGTTTTTGTACTCCACGAATACTGTGACATGAAATCGCTTCAAAGTATTTTTGAGGTAAAAGGACCCTTTTCTGAACCCGAAATACAATACTTCATGAGAGAAGTCCTTGAAGGCCTCAGTTATTTGCACTCACAAAATCTCGTTTACAACGGTCTTGTACTTCAAAATGTGTTGCTCAACAATTTGCACGTGAAATTGTCACACTTTGATGCGATTTCATGTTACACAACAACAACCCCAACTCACAACTCTTCTTATGACATTTGGGCCTTTGGTGTCATGGTCTATTTTCTTAAATACGGCGATGTCCCTTACATCTCAACAACACCAAATGAATTAGAAAAGGAGTTGCAAACACCAAAAGACTTCCTTGTGTTTCCAGACTCTCAAGACATTTCAGAAGAATTTAAAGATATCATCACAGCCACCATCCTCACACCAGAAAACGTCACAGTCGACGATTTAATTCACACGGATTTCTTCGACTTGGCTAAGATCCCATCGTTTCTCCCACAAAAGTGTTTAACTTCGGACGTCAGTTGTTACACTTTTATTGTTGGGAAAGTGACACAAAAGGCGGATGATTTGTTAAGCAGAATTCAAGACATCATGAAGTTCATTACTAACAATACAAGCACAAGTGAAGCGCCTTTTGTGAAGAATTTTCGGCACAATTTCGTCGGGAGGTATGTCGATGAAATCAGTCACAACGGATTTTTCTATCAATTTGAAGACGGGATAATGGGGGCCTATTTTAGCGATGGATCTAATGCGTTTAGTATCGATAGAAGGTATAGGTACTACAGAACTGATTTCAGTCGAATCGACATCAATCGCGACGAGCTGAGAGATCACTTCTATCAGATGAAAGAGCAGAAGACTCCATTAACTTCAAAACAAGAAGAGGAATACGACTTATATAAGAAGTACCATTTCCTCAGAATGATGAGTGAGAATTTCACTGAGAAACTTATGAAGTCGCACACCTACACGACTTCAGTGATCTTAAAGATCTTACATATAGATGACGCACTTGTTTTAGTATTTGCAGATTACACATTAGAAATAGTGTATGATTCAATCGTTGAGAAAAAGAATGACAGTGATGTCTCAGAAGTCGATTGTGCATATATGGTTATCGTAAACAGGAACGACATAACTGTCTTCATCAGTGGCATCTTTTATAACGTCGGCTTTGATATGCCAAAGATATATGAAATCGACAAAAACGTCGAGAAACATTTGAGCATTTTGCTTCGTGCATTAGAAGAGATCCAGTCTGACATCACAAAGAAGATAGCACAGCGGTTTGTTGATTGAATGTAGTGTTTTCTTTTATCATTGGTTCTAGAATAGTATTATAGTAAAAATACCACAAAAAATAGTATTTTCCTTTAATAAGAGTAAGATTTCAAACCCGACTTAATTGATACGAAATTGCGAAATTTCCGCTCTAATAAAATTTTCATCTTATGTTTACCAAAAGATGGTTTAATGAACCATTCTTTTCTAATAAAAAACTATGAACCAAAACCAAACAAACCCCAATTTTTAGATTATCGTTGACGTCTTTTTAGTTAGCCTTTGGGCTGATCTTCCACATTTTAATTTCGCTGTTGGCGTGACCAGTGAAGAAAGTGTCTCTAGTAGCAGACAAAGTGACGGACATGACTGGGGAGGTCTTCTGGAAGCCGATGATATCCTTATCCTTAACGATGGCGACACCCTGTTCAGTAGCTGCGAGGAGGGTATAGTGTTCTGGGTTCTCAGCGAAGACGAGTTGGTAAATGATGCAGCCGACTTGGATGTCATATAAGAATTCATAGAGGCCAGTTCCATTGTTCAACGACCACATTCCAATGACACCGTCTTTACCAGCAGTAGCCATAATAGATCCGTCTGGTGAGAAAGCAATAGTGTTGATGAAGCCATTGTGGTGAGTGATGGTCGACTCCAACTTGCAAGTCTGATCCAAAGTCCAGGTCTTCACTAACTTATCCCATCCACCAGAAACGATTTTATTCCCCTTTGAGTTTGGAACAAATCTGACGCATGAAACCCATTCGGTGTGGCAATCGTTCTTAACAGCAGCAATGCATTTGCCTAAGGTATTCCATAATCTAATGGTCTTGTCGCGGGAACCAGAAATGATCTTAGTGTTGTCTTGCGAGAACGCTACAGACAAGACATCACCTTCGTGACCAACAAAACGTCTGACAGACTCCATCTTATCCAAGTCCCACAATCTCAAGGTATGATCCCATGAGGACGAAATCGCAAATTTGGCATCAGCAGAAAGAACTAAGTCACTAACAAAGTGTGAATGGCCATGAAGTGATTTGACGGGGAAGATCGCTTCGGGTTGCGCTTCACTGGTGGTCTCAACTTTCCATGTCAAAAGGGTCTTGTCACGAGATCCACTGATCAACAAATCAGGCTTGGAGGCAGAACACGCTAAGGCAGTCACGGCACCCTTGTGACCTTTCAATGTCGACTTCAATTCGATGGTGATGCTTCCTGACATCGACTTAGGGTTATTTCAAAGTTTCCAGTTTCGCTTTTTACAATTAAAGGTTTCTCTTTAACTTTTTTATAAAACTTTTACCATCATTTCTTTTTTTTTTCTTGGGGGTTCTTTTCTGTTATTCAAAGTGTTTTTTACTCTTCTTTTTTTATTTATTTCAATCCTATTATTAATCATTAATGATTAATTGATTGGTTTTATTAATTGTATTCTATATACTTTAGTTCTTTAATTTATTTCAAACTTACTATTGGTATTGCTAGAAGTTAACTATACAATTTAATTGATTGATATTAGTTTATACAATTTGTTATTTAAAATTGTCTCCCTTTTTGTTGTCAAATACATAACCAATTGTTTTGGAATAAATATAGTCTTAAATGATAGTAAAAAGATGATGAAAAAACACTGAACTTTTTTGACTCAGTTAAAAAACGAGTGCGTTTTCTATTCGAGTCAAAAAAGACCAACTTTGTCTTTCACAAGAACTTATATGTCAGCTCCACTGTGAATGTATAATCGTCAGTTTACATGGAAACAACACCACTTAACAGTAAACACCCCCACAACATGATTGTAGAACCAAATTCGTTGCGTCACAATTACCATCGATTTCTTCGTCTGAAGTATTTGAAATGTTGGAGACAGATCAGCTTAGTTGGTGGGTTCACTTTAATGCTCATCGGTGGGTCGATATTTTCGTGGAGTTCATACAATCGAGATATACGTGAAGCCATGGGCTATTCTGTGAGTGAACTCAATATCATATTCTCCGTCGGGTTGTTTGGGGTATACTTCTCCTTCCTCACTGGGTTTCTATTTGATCATTATGGTACACGTGGAGCTCTGATATATGCCTTTGTTATGGGTACTTTAGGGTACCTTTTATATGGGTTACAAGTGTATTTGAAGTACAACACTAGTGCTTATTTAACATGCTTTTTCTTCTTCATAGCGACGCAAGGCTGCTCTGGCTTGTTCCAGTCTGCTGTTCAAACGTCTTCGCACAACTTCCATCGAAACATTCGCGGTGCTGTGATTGGCTTTATGACTTCAGGGTTTCCACTTTCAGGCTCGATTTATTCGGTGATTTTCACGAGTTGTTTCAAAGACATTAATGATGGCGTTGCAATGTATTTGTTTTTCTTGTGCGTCACAACATGTGTTGGAAGTTTTCTCGGAATGATCATCATGTTTGTCGTCCCTGTCGAAGATGTTTTTAATAGTTCCTATGGCAAAGTTAAGTTTGGCAAGATCGAAGGATTAACAGACCACTTCGTCTTGTCGACGGATTCTCAAAATGCTTCGTTGTCGTCTTCCATAGAAAATACGCCGCGAGATCGGGGATCTTTTGAATATAGAAATGAGAATCAAGCCATTTTACCTTCAAATGTTCTCCAGCAAACCGACGAAATTCAACACAATGAAAATTTGACTGAAAAAGTCATTGTCTTCGACAACTACGACCAAAGCGATGATTTGGACAATGCGCATGAAGTCGTTATTAAAACAGTAAATCCAATCGAACAAATTACATCAGAAAAAGATGGTTTAACTCAGCAAAACACTCAAGTTCACACGGAATTTCATGAATCAAAGAAACGTAAAACAACATGGTTGTCACGATGTGGAGTGTTAAAAGTCTTCACACGATTCGACTTTTACTTGGTGATATTCTCAGTGGCTCTAGCAGCGGGGCCGTCACTTTCTTTGTTATCAAATGTGTCTTTGGTGTTACAAGCAAACAAAGTGAGTGAGGACCGAATCGAACTGTTGGCTGTGCTCACCTCCATATTTCATGCTGCTGGACGGTTTATATTTGGGTGCAGTAGTGACTTATTAGTCAAGATTCATATCAATAAAGCGCTTTTATTATCTTCTATAGCTTTTGTCCTAACAACACTCTTCTGTGTACTTGTGTTGTTCCAAGAGAATGCCTCTGAAATTATCATTTGGATTGAGCCTTGGTTTTTAGGTGGGATTCTTGGTGTAGGTCCTTCTTTAGTATCCGAGATGTTTGGTATATCCAATTTTGGATTCAATTTGGGGGCAATGTTAACAGTGGTAGCCATCAGTAACATTATTGTCTCTACTCTTTCTGGGCTCTTTTATGATTCAAATATAACTGATGGAGAGTCTTCGTGTTATGGAGACAAGTGTTTTTATAACACCTTCTTCATGTCTACATTCATGTGTGCTCTGTCTTCTATTCTCTTCATGTTCTTAGCCATCCACGCTTATTGCTCTAAAAATAAAAAGTAGTATTAATTATTGTTTATTTAACTATTAAGATACTAAACGCAATGGGATCTAACGAATTGCTTATCTTAGAATATTCTTATGACGTTTTGATTGACCTTCTCCTTCTGGTCTTGAGCAATACACTCCCCAATCCACATCAAGTTTCTCACTTCTTGTTCTTTCAGCTTGAGCCACGAGTAGAAAACAGCATACCCCATTTGTGTGTAATATGCCGACTTGTTGATATCGACTTCGCCATCAAAGAACATCTCTTCCAGTGATCGCTCGTTAGCATCATCGGAGGCGTGTGCGTTCATCAAGTTTTTGTATGCGGGCACATACTCCACTGCTTTGACCACACCTTCCATATCAGTCGCTTTAGCCAAATTCCCCATCCCAACAGGATAGAGTAACCCTAAATTGGGGAACAGTTTTGTACGGTCATCCCTTGACAAATCAGTCCCAAATGAGTTGATAGTGACTGTAATCGCTCTTCGATCGGCTTCGTAGTTCAAGATGTCTTCCATGACTCTTGTAGTCTCCCCTCCAAGCTTCTCGCAGAACGCATAAAACTCCTCCAAATATCCTTTATATAACGTGTTACGAACAATCTCGACATTAAGCTCAGTAAGATCCTCTTCGCTCATGCATCCACTTAAGTAATTCCCAAGAGGTGTATCGATCAATACATAGTGATACAAGTCATTAATGGATTTGACATTAGGCAAAGCCTCGACGTTACTGAACATCCCAAGGGGATGGAGTTTCTCTTTCAGTTCTTCAACATCCTTTTCCGCTTGAGTCCCGGTGAGTAACAAGATGACGTTGTCGATCATATAAGGTATAGTTAAAAATTCCATAAATTTACTTAATGGGTAATAAGCTTGCGATTGCATCATAAAAAAGTCTTGAACCAATTTGTCTTGGCACCGAGTTTTAATTGTGTTGACGGTAATGGGCGACGGTTCGTTTTGAAAGACTTCTTTATAGTCCGTGCTCAACAGCGCAACTTTCATGTCTTCCAATGAATTCGATTGAGTCAATGTCGTGTACTCCGACTCGGTCAAAAGCCCCGCCTTCAGACCACGGCAGCACGCCTCCAAAAACCCGTCGTCCACGTTGAATGTCCAAAGTCCTCCTAACATCTTCTTTTAACATTTTTTAGTTTCTGTTTTTTCTCGTCTTTTTTGTACAATTCCATTCCTCTTTTTCTGTAAGTGGGATTTATTGAGTGATTTTGCCCTTTTATTATGTGCTTTTAACGCCTCGTTCTTTCTTTTGGTCATCCCGAAGAAATTCCAGAGAAAAAGTGGTCAACCGTTTTTGTTTGGGGTTATATTAATACAATAATTATATCTATATATGAGCAAGTTCATGACTCTTCAGACCAAAAATTATATGGAAGAAAATTATTTGGCAATAACAATTGATTATAGTTTATTTATAGTTTGTTTATTCATCGTTGTATAGGAGTTTGGTATTATCAATTGAAAAAATAAAAAAAAGTATAAAATTACTTCAAAATCCCGAATTTGTATAGAAATATAATGTATTTGAATTTTAAACAAATAGTAAATTAATTTTAATTATAATATATTAACCACTCAAACAACTCATTTTTGCAAAGAAATGATTACTAAGATTGTGGTGCAAAAACAAACCCAAAATTGAATAATTCATTCGATTCTTATTTCCCCGTTGACCCAAATCCAGAACTCCCCCGTTCAGTCTCATTTAGGTCATCAACCTCCACAACTGGACATTTACATATCCTTTCAATAACCATTTGCGCTATTCTATCACCCTTCGACCCTTTAAATTCGACATCAGAGTGGTTGAATAATATAACTTTGATCTCCCCTCTGTAGTCTTCGTCAACAACACCCGCGCCAACATCAAGGCCATTCTTCAACGTTAAGGAAGACCTTGGCGCAACCCTCCCGTAACAGTCCGATGGAATGTGAACAGCAATTCCCGTCGGAACAGCTAACCAACTGTGTGGGCTGATTTTGAAGTCAATGTACGAGTAAAGATCATACCCAGCGGCGAGAACAGAACCACGAGTCGGAATTATTGCGTCTGGGTGAAGCTTTTTGATATATAAACGTTCCATTATCCTTTTGAGTCTTTTTTCTGATTTTCTTCGGGTCAATACTAGTTAATATTTTAATTTAAAATATTATATATTCTAATACACAAAATATAAAATTGATAATAATAATACAGTATTATTTTCAATTACTTAATTAAGTATAAATTATAGTTTGTGTTTTGATGTGTCTAGGTATGTATATAAGTAATTTCATTGTATTTCTTTATAAGAAATAAAAAAACAGTTGTGAGAACAGTTTCTGTATAAAAAACAAGAGCAATGTATTTTTTGTACAGATAAAAAATGTCAAAATGAATTTGTTTTTTATTTGAAAGACAATTTGAAGATCTCAAAAAGAATTCTGATATTTGAGAAAAAGGGGTGTTTTTTTGAAACACTAAAAAATAGAATTTTGTTTTCCTTTTCTTTTTTTTCTAAACGAGAAAAGGACATTCAACCCTATCGAGTTTCCTAATAAAAAGAACCAACAAATCGGGATTTCGGGCTTTTTCCGTGAAGAGAGTAAAATAGAATGCATCTTATAAATCACAGTGCACGCAAATGTCTGGGTGGTTCAACGGATGGTTTGGCAAAGGAAACGCCACAGACATGAAACTCGAGGAAACGGACGACAAGTTGGTCTACGATCAGGCAACACAACGATGGATCAAAGAGAGTGAGCTGAAGAAAGCTTCTTCCTCTGGAACTCCATCTCCGCTCCCAACTACAACTTCGCCACTCCCACCTTCTTCCCCGCTCCCTACAGCAACCCCACCTGTCGGTGTGTGTCAACCAACAACTCCGGGCGCGGGGCGAAGACCGCGTTATGTTGACCCATTTACACAACAAGTTCATCACACAGCGCCACCAGTGGTCGAAGTTTCGACAACCCCTGTTGTTTAATGCGTTTCAAAACGCGTGTAATTTCTGATACTTTTACCTTTTTATGTTCGTTCTTTACATCCCATTTGTCATTTCATCACCGAGATTATACTTTTGCTCAGCTGATAAACACGACGTGATTGTTGACAAAACGAATTTGATTTTTCAATCAAAACTCGAATCATAACAAGTTTCCATCTTTAATAATTTCTATATATTTGAGAGAAAATCATCGATTTTTTTTTCGTCATTATTAACATCAAATTTTTTATATTTGGAATTATTATTTTTTTTTTAATCTTTCGATTTTTTATATATATTTTTTTTAATATAAATAATAATAATTTTAATTAAAAAATAAATAAAACTCTTCAATTTTGAATGTTTTTTTAGAAAAAAAAAACTTTGTAATATTAAAATTAATTATAATATCAATTAAAATATTAATTTTATTATTACACAAATGTCCATCAGAAAAGTTATTAAAGTGTTTCAAATGGTTTTTTAATATTATAAATAAACTAAGTATTAATAATGATAAAAAATAATAGTATATAAATAATAATTTAAAAACTAAATTGATAAACTTAATATAAACTATAAATAAACCACTGAATAAATTACATCAAAGTGACATAATTGCTTGGGAAGAGGCCCGTCTTAGCATGTAACTCTCCTGTCCACCAACCAGACGACTCGTCTTTCTTAATTATATTAATCACATCTCCTTCTTTAATAGAAAGTTCGTTTTCGTCTTGAGCGTCATAGTCGTAAAGAGCCTTACAAGTATTTGCTTTAGGAGTCTCTTTGACTTCCTTTACGTCTTTCTTAGCTTCTTCTTTTTGATTAACGTACGATGGTTGTATGTATGGGTTGACTTGTCCTGGTGGTATTTCATATGTTTTTTGTGGTAGTTGTTGTTGTTGGGTACTCACGTTCTGTTGGACGTACATTTGTTGTTGTTGATTAGCCATATAAGGGTTATAAGAATTGTATTGATTTGTTTGGTATTGGTTGTATTGTGCTTGTTGAGGTTGTTGCATTTGTTGTACTTGTTGAGTCTGTAGTACATTACTTCGTTGTGATTGATAAGGGGAGTATTGGTACATTTGTGCTTGTGGGATTGGTGGGTAAGGTTGATAGAATTGTTGTCGTCTAGGGTTTTGTTGGTATTGGATTTGTTGTTTACTGATCAGATCGAGTCTTTTTCTATCGACATTAGCTTCTTTCTCCATTGAGTCGCCATACGCTTTAATAACATAGTTCAACCAAAATCCCTCAGTTGGCAATTTGTCGATCATCTCAGGTACTTTTTCCCATGATGTTTTGATTGAATTGACAACATCGTTGAACCCAATCAAAAGATTTCTAACGACTGGAAGAGTGACTACCTCGCAGTCTTGTATTAACTTAGTTGCGTCTTCAATTAACTCCAATTTGAGCCATTCATACTTGTCTTTGGCGTCAGAGTAATTCTGTTGTGCTTGTAACATTTTGCTCTGTTTCCCTTTCTTTGAGATTTCTGAAAGTTTTTCTGAGGCAAAGTCGAAGTCCTCTTTTCTCTTCTCGGCGACTTTGCATCGGTTGAGTAATTCAATAAATTGTTGGTTATATGTTTTCAATGGTGTCATCAGTTCATTAAGAATTTTGTTTTTATATCTCCCAGCAGAGATTTGGAGGTTCTGGAAGACTTCAGTGGTCGATGCTATTTGATTAGTACTTTCCTCCGAATTCTTCGACATCTGCACACAATTTTTGAGTGACGAAAGAATCGACAAATGACACGTGAAAAGTTCGACAATTGTCTGTGGAAGGTGTTCGACGTTTTTCAAGATAGTTGTGAACTCCTTTGAAGTGTTCAATAAATTTTGTTTCATATTTTCATAGTCGGGATCAAGAATACGTTGATTAATCCCAATTTCATTTTTTAATGAGAAAATGGAACGAGAGAGTGAGGTAGTAGTGTCTGGTTGCATTATTGTTTTGAAGATCTTAAAGTGAGTAGTAAGTTTCATCAATTCGTCACATAATGGATAGTTTTTATACTAATAAGATAAAATATATTATAATTTAAATATCACTTTAATTATATACAAAAATTCAAAACCAATTAAAAATGTCATTCAATAGAAAAAAATAGTATTTTTCATTTTTGGTTTTTGTATTAAAATTATATTAACAATTTTTAATAGCCATTCGCTAAAATTTCAGATAAAGTATATTATATTATATAATTATTATATATAATATAAAATTTATTATTTATTATAAAATAAAAAAAATATTATTAGTATTATTTAGTAAAAATAGTTTTTTAATATTATGATTTAATTATGAATTATTGTTTAATTTATGTTTTAGTAAATACCAATAAATGTATTTTGAGAAAAAACAAAAATAATAATTGAAAACAAGAAGATTTTGCTTTTCAAACCAAAAAATGGGATTAGATTTGTTTTTAAATGCACCTTTTTTAAATAATTCGAAGCCCAAACTTGTTTTTATTAATAGTAAAAAGAACCATTATTGCATTACTAAAAAGTGGTTCCCAAAAATGGAATTCAGTAAAAAAGAAAAATTGAATTTTTGTATTTTGGAAGCAGCCTGTAACTTTAGAAGTGATTTATCATAAAAAAAATATTTTTTTCCTTATAAAAACAAACATATTCAAAAAGTGATAATTTGGTAAATAAGAAGATCTTGTTATCCTTTTTTTGGGGTTGTTTGGCGTAAAAAAAGGAATTGGCGTCAAAGTTCTTTCAAAAATAAAAGCGCAAGAAATTTTAGTTTTAAAAAAACCTGTCAACCCATTTAATAGTAAAATATAACCATACTAAAACCATCCCATTTATTTTGAAATGAAATAGAACTCAAAAAATGGAACAAATTGCTCAGCAAAAGTCAAAACTTTTGTTTGTATTTTAGGGCATTTACCCGAAAAACAGGTATATTATATTGGAATATTAAAAATTCTTTTCAAAACAAATTCTTTCCCACTTTTTATAATTCCAAAAAAGGATATCGTTATTATTCGTTTTGCCGTTCAAATTAAAAATCCCCAAATATGTATAGTAAAATAATTATAAAACAATCAACATAAATAGTTTACACCAAACAACGATGCAAATTGGTTTTTATTTCCTCAAAATAACATGGACCGCACCAAATACATTCAAAAAACAATTCATCAATTTAAATCAAGACACCCCTTTTTATGCAACCCTTTTCAATAAAAAGAAACTGTAATATCTCCGAATATACCGAACCAATGTCACAGAACGATACCGACAGTGTTGCTCAAAACAGCAAATCCGATTTGGTACAATGTACTTGTAGTCTCTGCCAAAGTCAAGACACCTTTTTAATGGACGACCCAAAAGTTAAGACGACTCGGCTCTGTGTTCTAATTTTAAAGTCTTTGAAAGACTTAAAACCGTCTGTCGAATATTTTTCATTACGAGCTGATATCAATGTCTTTATTGAAGATCATTGGAAATTGTTATCGAAACTCAAATTGTTTAAATCCCCTAATTACAGAAAAGCGTTGTTGGATGCTTTCAATCATTGTAATTTAATCGAGTCTGGAAAGTCAACTGTCCACAACAGAGGGTTCTACAAGCTTCGCGAAACAAAAGCAAAGAAAACTTTACCAAAGAAAAAGCCGACCAAGAAGGAAACTCAAAAAGTTACACGCCCAGAAAATATCGCCTATCAAATAACACAAGATATTAATGCTCTATTGGAACAATTGTCATATACAAACACTTTACTTGTTCAAACACAATCGTTCTATGTGGGAAATCCAATCAATAATATCCCAACGGCCATTGCTTTTGAATCTAACGTTTCACACATTAACACACTTTCGCAAGTTTCTGTACTAACTCTTTGAATTTCATGTAATTGTACTCTCTTTGACTTATTGTTCTTTTTTTCTATTTTTAATAATTCAATAACGGCGTAAAATGTCAAATAGTTATGGTCAATTAATTACATTTCACTTTCAGTTGGTGAAGAATTGAGCAGTGTCAAAGTCAAATTCCTCGAACAAATTTTGGTTTACAACATACTTCACTTCTTTCACGGGACTCTTACGAGGACTGTCAACATTGCAAGTACTTACACTAAGTTGGGAAATGGCTAAAGAACTTGGCGATACCATGCTCTTGGAATTTGGTCTTAGAGTCAATGTGTTTTAAAGTCTTTACTCTTTTTAAGTGAAAACAAAACAAACGTAAATAAAGGAATTCCTTTTGAAGGCGGTGGCTGCATTAAAAACTTAGGGGTGTATGAAGAAGTCGTTGATAAGTCATCTGGTGAAGTGATTTGAATTAGTTTGGTGTTAAGAGACTTTTCTTCGGAGTAATTCATATGAGAGGACTCAATTGTTATACACTTTGAACAACGTGAGTTGATCAAAAAGGCCAACTCCGTATTTAACTTATCCAACTGAGTACACAAGTCTTCTACATTCTTCAGTTGTAGTAAGTCGTACCTTTGATCCGACTTTGCATTAAGTACTAAAGACAACATCTTTGAATTGATTTTCATTGAATTTTTGTATATCTTATTGATATTACTTGTGTTTGAGTCTGCAATGGCGTCTTGAACCTCTCGAAGACAATGTTCGAAAGGTGGTGTTAATTCTATTATTTGCTTAGGAAGGTCAAACTTCTTTATAGTCTTATTGTGTGTCACAACCCCATCTGTACAATATTGATTATATAACAAATTGTACTCTGCCATCTCTGTTGGATAATTCTCAGCCCACCCCAATACCATTTCATGGACTTTCTTTTGAACTTTATTTGCTGAAAAGAATGGTTTTTTAACTCTGCCAAGGATTTCAATCATTGCAATGAAGTCGATGTGAGATATTTGTGGTCTAAATGAAGGCTGTTTTGTAATGACATAATCAACTAGAATAAGACAATTCAGAACTTCATTGTCTGATATGAAGTGTTTCAAATACTTTGACATTCTTTCATATATTTGTATTCGAAGAGCGGGTAAAGCTCCAGGGACTTTAGAAACTACTTTAGAAATACATTCGAGTTTATCCAAAGGAGGTGGACAGGTGGTCTCCATGACTGTGATGTTGACAAGATCACTTAAACACAATGACATGACTAAAATATTATCAGTTGTGTTTTTAGTAAAAAACATACCTACAGGGGGTGAACAGTTGAAATCAAAGAAAAATCCACAGATTATCTATTTTTCTTTATTTTTTTTTCTTGGTCTTTTTTAACCAAAATTTCGGGTAGTTTTATCTTCTTCCAATTGTAATAAAAATGATTCATTTTCGGAAATAAATAGAAAAATGTAGAAAGAATCAAACATTTATATTAGAGTTGTTTTCGTCTAATTTTCGGGATAATTAATGGATTGAATTGGAAGTTTTATATTTATGATAAACTAATATAAATAATTTCTATGATTGTATAAACATTTTTATTATTATAAAATTATATTTTATAATACATTTTATTATTGTTAACACGTAATAGGCAAAATATTATTGTAATTTTTTTTAATTCTTTTTGTCATTTTCATATATTGAAAAGTTACTCTAATTGTTATTATGTTAACAGGACGCAAAAATGCTAAACTCAAAATGCTTTTTCTGACAACAAATTAATAATTATAAAATTATATTATTTCAATAGATTCCCATAAAAACAATTTTTATTATTAAAAGTTGATATATTTAATATATTTATTATATAAAATTATAAATAAAAGATAATGAACAAAATTGTTAAAAAAAAACTGTTTTATTAAAAATAAAAATTATTTTGTTTTGATCTAAACAGTTCTTCTTCCTTTTTTGACTTTTTTTATTGAAATCAACATTTTGGTTTTGCCTTTTGGCGGAATTTTCTTTTTTTATCTGAAAAATTTTATCACTTTTTTATATTTTTTTTATTGGATTTTTTTTATAATTATAATAATTCAAACTATTTTACATAAAAAAATGATTATTAAAAATTTTTAAAATAATTTGTTTATTTTTTTAAATTAAACAACAAGTTTTTAACTTTTCTTATAATAAAGTTGATAATTTTATTTATCATTTATTTTAATAATTATGATATAAATTTTTTGTTCTCAATTACACATAAATTCTATAAAATATTTAGAACAAAAATATCATTTAAATTACACTTTATTTGTTTAAATTATAAATACACAATAAAAACCTTTTAACTACATTTCAAATTACTAAGATATAATACAATAAAACACTTAAATATCATTAATAAAACCTAGTTAAACAACACCTAAATCAAACGTTTCATGAGTCGACGGAAGCAAGCCATGGGTCGCGCCCTTGAGCGCCAACGACTTGAGAAGATAGCGCGACTCCAGCAAAATATATCTGATATCAAGCCTGACCCGCCCAAAAAAGAAGAAAAGAAAATTGATCCCAAAGTAGCTCTTCAACAGAAAAAGGAGAAGCGTGAAGAGAAAATAGAAAAACACGACAAAGATGAGAAGAGTAAAGCTGACATTCAACTTGAGCAACGTATGCGACTTATCTATGATTTATTAATATCGTTTGATATTTCTCCCGAGTTAGTCAAGCGTTCTATGATCGGTGCAACTTCCGAGAAAGCAGATGAAATCGTTTTAGATGATGTTTTACTCTGGATTTGTACAAATGTCCCACAACATTTAATTCCTCGTTCATTAGGGGGGTCATTCGGTCTTCAAGACCAACAACGTTCTTCACACCCAAACACTACTAAATCAACTCAGAAGACAAAACCCGTTGTGCAAAAAGTTGAAATACCACAACAAAGCCCACAAGAAAGTGAAGATGTGGATTTAGACAGAGCTCTAAGTCGAGAGGCCTTTAAAGAATCGATGGACCCTTCAAAGCCCAAGAAAAAGTCTGTTGAAGAGATGAAAGCTGAAGGCTTAAGGAAAAAAGCGGAACGAGAAGCACAGCGTCTTGCCGAGCAAAGTGCACTTCCACCACAACAAGAAGAAGATTTCACCCCAACTTTTGATTATTTCGATCAGTGCGATTTCCAGTTGGAAACAGAGCAGAAGCCACAATGGAAGGTTATTAGTGCGGCAGATGACTTGAAGTGGACTGGAAAGTTCCCAGGAATGCTTGCTGGAGAGTACTGTCGACATCAAAAGTATGAAACTCCGAAGTACCATGATATGAAGTGTCAAGACGGGTGTTATTTAATGCGTGCGACGTGTCAGTTGAATGACAAAAGTAAAACATTAGTGAGGGCATTGCTTCCTGAAGAGAATGTGTGTTTCTTAGAGAAACAGACTGCCAAAAATTACATCGCGTTACGGCTCCTCTTCGAGCTTAAAGTCCAAAGAAACTTCATCAACAGCTTTTCACAAAGATATCAAGATCAATTCGATATGTGGACGAACTCGTCTCCACTAGAGATCATGAAGAACGATGCCATCGAGTCGGTGTTATCCACAAAGCGTGCGGAGAGGAAAAGTAGTTGTATTGGCGAGATAAGAGAAAGTGTTTTTGCCCGTGAGAAACAGACTCTCGACACACAAAACAACGACTTTTATCGCTCAGAAATGCAGAAAGAAATGAACAACAAAGACTACAAGAATATGTTAAGTGTACGCGAGGCATTGCCCATCTTTACGGAGAAGAATTCCTTCTTAGAGAAGGTGTCGAAGAATCAAATCGTCGTTGTCTCTGGTACCACAGGGAGTGGCAAAAGTACCCAACTCCCTCAATACATTCTCGAGAGTGAATTACTCAAAAACAATGGCAAAACAACAAAAATTTATGTGACACAACCACGAAGAATCAGTGCGGTAGGGTTGTCTGCTAGGGTTTCCGAAGAACGTGGATCAAAACAGTTTGTTGGTCACCAAATACGATTTGAGAAGAGTGGAGGAGAGAAGTTGGTGTATTGTACTGTTGGTGTGATGTTAAGGAAAGTGCTTGGTAATCCAGACATGGAGGGGATATCACACTTATTCATTGACGAAGTGCACGAGAGAGATATTAACACCGACTTCTTGTTGCTTCTAGTCAAGAAGTTAGTTGAGAGGAATAAACGAATCAAAATCATTATTATGAGCGCAACACTCGCTGTCGAGTTGTTTGAAAAGTACTTTGGGAGCGCAGACTCGATTAGAGTGGAGAGCAGAATCTACCCCGTCGAGATCCACCATCTTGATGACGTTATCAATTTGACTGACTACAAAATTGACAGAAATTCGGAGTTTTTCAATTACAAGTATGACGACGTCCAAAAGAAGAAAGTGTCTGGTGTGACGTACTCTGTAGACATGCACAAGGCTTATGGTATCTCCGATAAAACCAATTCCGAGATGATTGATCAAAATAGAGTGAACAATGAATTAATAGTGGACTTACTTGTGTATATCGTACGTAACAAGCCTGTTGGATGTGTGTTGATATTCCTTCCTGGTATCTTTGAAATCACGAATTTACAACGTGAGATATTGTCCACGCCTGAACTGACATCGAAAAGCCTAAAGATCGATTTGATGCACTCCACTATTCCATTACAACAACAAAAGGAAGCATTCACGGTTGCTCCCAAGAACGTCTGGAAGTTTGTGTTGGCGACAAATATCGCGGAGACGTCAGTGACAATTCCGGACGCAAAGTATTTAATCGACACTGGTCTTGTCCGTCTTATGTCGTATGACAGAAGCACGAAAATGCAGAGACTTGTGTTGACCCGCATTTCTAAAGCGAACTGTGCACAACGTAGTGGGCGTGTTGGTCGTGTGAGTGCTGGAGAATGTTACAGAATGTACAGTGAGTCTCGTGAAAATTCGTTTGACACATATCCACAGCCCGAGATAAAGCGTCTACCGTTAGAGTCTTTGTGTCTGCAAATTCTCTTGTTTGGTGAGACTGACCCAGTCAAATTTTTGAGTGGAGCTATTGATGCGCCTTCGGAGAGTCAAATTGAAAAGTCTATGAGTCAACTTGTCAACATGAAAGCCGCAATCAAAACCCCAATACTCAATCAGAGTGGCTCATTGATCAAAAATGTATATTCTGCTACTCCTTTGGGTCACGCTTTGGCTGCACTACCTGTTGATGTTACAATTGGGAAGATGTTGTTAGTCGGATGCATCTGTGGTGTTGCAGAGGAAGCAGCGACAATAGCAGCCTGTATGTCTGTTCAGCAGTTCATTCAAAGTGAGAAATGTCTTGATACAAAGAAGCGTTTCTGTGGCGACAGTTCCGATCATATTGCGAATATGCGAGTTGTCCAAAAGTACATCGAAGCTGAGCGAAACGGCGAAGCAAATAACTTTACTCGAAACAATGGGATTAACGTTATATTGATGAAAGAAATTCTCGATACGAGGAAACAGTTTTTGGAACTCCTGAAAAGTTATAGATACCCAACAGAAAGTGTTCTCAGCAATTGCAAAGATGTCATAACGTTTGTGCTCTGTTATGTGTTCTACCCCAACATCGTAATACCAAAAGCACTTGAAGGGAAGACAGCGAGCGAGTTTGAGTATTGGAC